AACCCGATTTTTTACTTCATTTTGACCCTTATTAAAAATCCGGTTTTAGTGACAGTTTATGACTGTTATAAACGGTTTTTGACAGTTTGAGTAGTTTTTGGACAAAGAAAATTGATTTGACAGTTTTTCAGACAAATGAAGTACTTAATCATTTTGGTCATCATTTTTCCTGGTACAACAACAATCACGAAAATCATACTTTATATTCTCTGTTCTTGAAATTCTTCTGAGTTTTATCCGATTAAAAGTTGAGAGTACCACCCAAATACTTTAATATGAAAGTGTACACACGATTCTCAGAATTTTCAAGCCTTTTATTACTCCGAATTTCTAACGGAATGGAATATTAGTCATAGTAACAAATTCATTGTTTTCATCACGATTATGAGATTCCTATAATTATTGACGGTTACCAAATTCAACAAGATTATTAATTCTCTATAATTAAGGAAATTTGTTTGAACACATGTTAAATATATCCAACTTATGTATTATACATGTATATTCAACTTGTATATCAAATTCTCTATGTATATTTAGTTTGTGTATTGAGTGTTGAATATATTCAACTTGTGTATTATACATGTTTATTCAACTTGTGTATCAATTTTTCCATTTATATTCAACTTGTGTCTCAAATTATCCATGTATATCAAATTCTTCATGTATATTTAAGTTGTGTATTCTCCATGTATATTCAACTATTGAAGACTATTGAATTTTGTTTAGAAAGGTAATTGAATCCGATTAATTAAACCATTTTCACAATTATACGGCTATTGAAGATGGCGGTTTCGATAAATTATGATTAACACTATGACTAATATACCCTTTCGCATTAATTATTGTCGGTTTCTTAATTATTTTAATTATTTAATTAATTAAATCCAAAAAATACATATGATTGAATATAAGTCATTCTCATATAATATTTTCATAATTGTTTTGAAGTCAGCCATTTTCCACATAATATTAAATGTATACAAACAAATCTTACTTCTTACGATAACTGGCTTGTTGATTTTTAAGGTTAGTATTCTACTCTTCTATGTAATTTCAATGCTCTTATAAGCTATCTGCTTCATGCATCTTTCACCTTATCTGAATGGTTAAATTGTGATGTTTTTGTAACTTGAAAGGTCAATTATGTCATAAGTCCTAAATGCAACATAAATAAACCTGCTATAACATAGGGTTTGTCCCATTTGATAAGGCGCCCCATCCGTCTTTAGGAGGTCGAATGATCAAAACCCTTATGGAGATATAGATGGAGAAATTAGGGTGTTTTATATAGAGTTTTTAACCAAAATAGGGTTATTGAAAAAAATATTTATCAATCTAGTATAGTTTGAAAAATATTTACCAAACTAGTGTTTTTCTTCATTTTTTTTATTTTTCAATATTTCTTATTGTTTTTCTATTTATTTAAAATATCAGCTTTTTTACTTTTTTTTATTTCAGTTTTTTTACTATTTATTTTAAATATCAGTTTATTATTATTATTATTATTATTATTATTATTATTATTATTATTTACTATGTATTTAACATAAATATCTAACATACAAAAGAGCTTTATTATTTTGGTTCATTACATGCCTATTTGATTAATTTTTTTCTACCGTTTATATAGTGATTACGAGTTTACTTTAATTTTCTTACCATTTATTTATACATATATTTTAAAAACTTAACCCTTTTACAAATTCAAGTTTTTTCTCATGTCTTTATTTATACAACCTTTGCATGCTTTTTAATTGAGTGTCTTTACATTATAAAATATAAAAAGCAAAAGTTTACATATTTTTTGTCTTTACATAAAAACAAATATGTAAAAACATAGAAAACAAATTTTAAAAAAAATCTAATTTGTAAAACGAAAGAAATCATAAAATACATGCATAAAACGAAATATGTAAAAAATATTTAGAAAACAAATTTCCAAATCAATAAAAACTATTATTTCAAAACACGTGAAAACAAAATTGTAAAAAAAAATATACGGACAAAATTTTATAACACAACTATTACTTTTGCTTTTTATATTTTATTTTCAATGTAAAGAAACTCAATTAAAAAGCATGCAAAGGTTGTATAAATAAAGACATGAGAAGAAACTTCTTTTTGTAAAGGGTTAAGTTTTTAAAATATATATATAAATAAATGGTAAGAAAATTAAAGTAAACTCGTAATCACTATATAAACGGTAGAAAAAAAATTAATCAAATAGACATATAATGAACTAAAATAATAAAGCTCTTTTGTATGTTAGATATTTATGTTAAATGTATAGTAAATAAAAGTATATAAAATTTAATAAAAAAAATTGAAACAAAAATAAAATAAAAAAATAAACTGATATTTAAAAACAATAAATAGTAAAAAAAAAAAACTGAATTAAAAAAAGTAAAAAAAGCTGATTTTTTAATAAATAGAAAAACAATAAGAAATATTGAAAAATAAAAAAAAATGAAGAAAAACACTAATTTGGTAAATAATTTTCATACTATACTAGATTGGTAAATATTTTTTTCAATAACCTCATTTTGGTTAAAAACTCGTTTTTTTATATATATAGTTAACCGTTTAAAATAATAAAATTAAAAAATAAAATAAAAGACTTCAGTGGCTTATTTATGACGATTAGAATTTTGATGACTAAACGGAGACATTTTGGAGACTTTGATAGCCGTTAAAGTCAAAACTCTTATCTTTACACACCAAGATACTGAATTTGAAAGTCAAAATAGGACCATTTGGCCAATTTCAAAAAATTGGATCGCTTACTTAAATTATTGGTTATTTTTGTGAATATCTCAATTTATATTATCATTTTAATAATAATTTTCGTTTTAGTTGGTATAAATTTTAATCCTTAAATAATTACTAATTAGACCATGCATATTCACCGGGGCAACGCGGAAGTTGGTGGTTGCATGGATGCCTTGTCTCTCTCTCCTCCTCAAATTCAAATCATCCTCACCCCTCTTTCTCTCTCTCTAAAGAAGTAGAGATTAAAGCCAATTTCATAATCGAAATTTAATTTTATTTGATCTCATCGATCGATGCAATGGATAAATCAGAGAAACAGGATAAAAGGGAGAGGGCCAAGGAGCGTAGAGAGAAACGTCGTCAAGAGATCTCTCTAATCCGTTCGATCCCTTATTCCGATCACCAGAGGTATGCAATGCATGCACTCGTTAGTATTTTTCTCATATTTTGGATTGAGAACGAACTCCTCAAAATTTGCTAACGATTAATCTAATCGTTGAAATATGTTGATGCTGCATCTTTTGATGAATTTGAATTTAAAGGTAAAATAGGAACCGAATCATTGATTTAAATTTGTAATCGCTTGGAATAAAACATAAGTTTTCTGGAATCAAATCAAAATGTATTCGAAAACCAGAATTTGCAACAGCTTTCAAGGATTCAATGAAACCTAATTGCGTTAACCTAAATTGAAGAGATCTGTGATATTCAATTCTTTCTTTTCCTTCAATTTTTCGTATTATACATTTTTAATCAGTGATTCACTTTTGACATGATGAATTCATGAGGTAATAGAAACTCGTCCATTCAGATCTCTTATAAAAGTTTTTCAAATTTTTTGTTCTTATGGAGTGTAAATGTTACTTTAGATGGTGGTCTGCGGATACAATAGCAGTGGTGACAGGTGCAAATCGAGGAATTGGATTTGAAATTGCACACCAACTTGGATTACATGGATTAACAGTTGTTCTTACTTCAAGAGAAACTGCTGTGGGTGAAGAAGCAGCAAAAGTCCTACAAGAAGGTGGATTAAAAGTTGTATTCCATCAACTCGATGTTATCGATCATGAATCTATCAATACATTTTGCAAATGGATAAAAGACAACTACGGTGGTATAGATATTCTGGTAAAAATCTTTTCATTTTGCTAGAATTCAATTTCTTTAAATCTTGGTCACATGTGGTTATTATGAGTGCAAACTTTGCAGATAAACAATGCAGGATTCAATCATAATGTTGGGTCAGAGAATTCCGTTGAACTTGCTGAAAAAGTCATCGCCACCAATTATTTTGGCACAAAAAACATGATTAAAGCTGCAATCCCATTAATGAGGCCTAATAATGCAGGTACTAGGATTGTTTCAGTGAGTTCACGATTGGGTCGACTTAATGGCAGGAAAAATGTACGTGTAATTTTTTTACCTGATTATTTGAAATGCAGAATTAGATTTTTATAATTTATTTTATAAAATTTGATATTAGAGGATTTCTAATGACGAATTGAGACAACAACTAGAAGATGTAGACTCACTATCCGAGGAGAAGATAGATGCAATGGTGAACAAGTTTTTAGAGCAAGTGAAAGATGGGAGTTGGAGTTCTGGAGGGTGGCCACAAAACAATACAGATTACGCACTCTCAAAACTGGCAGTCAATGCATACACAAGGGTGGTTGCCCGGGAACTTTCGGGCAGACCCGAAGGTGAAAAAATTTACATCAACTGCTACTGCCCGGGTTGGGTCAAGACTGCTATGACCGGTTGGGCAGGGCAGGTTACTACTGAAGAAGGAGCTGATACAGCTTTGTGGCTTTCTTTGCTTCCAGATATGCGTATTAGTGGCAAATTCTTTGCTGAAAGGCGCGAGATACATTTCTGATACGAGTTTTTTTTTTTTTTTTTTTTTATATTAAAAATACTATTGTAAACATAGAAGATAATCATTTTTTTTTTTAATTATAGCTAGGCATTGTTTTTTGTATGTTGTGATATTGATATGATTTCCTTTTCTATGTTTCAAGTTTTTTTCAACAAATGAATGGAAACTAGATTCTAGTTCAAATATGAAACTTGAAAGATTCCGACAAAACTGAATTCCGTGTCCCTCTGGCAACCAAACACAACACGGAATGGAATCTCAAATTCCAATTCCGTTAGGTGATAAGGGGTGTGTGTTTTTTCAGATAAATATACAAACAGAGTAGAGAAGTATCTGATGCCTGCTTTATATTTCTCTAGACTTTCTTTATAAATGGTACAGTTTTAATATATGAATTTTCTGGATGAATAAAACCAGATTGTACAAATATAAATACATCAAGCAGAGTTCTTGGAGGAAATCAGAATCTACAAAACTGAAATCAGATTACAGTAATTTTCGGGCAACGTACCAATTCTGGGCAAAAGTATTAGAAAGTGCTGTTGAGGTACAAGTATAAGCCAACAAGCGCAACGACTCCAACAGCAATTGCAATTGGTAACGCTTTCCTGATGAAAATAAGATAAAAAGTCATTGATGAGTATATGTGTGTGTTCTTGAGCTCTATACATGTGATGTTTGTGTTTTATGTTTAGGACTTACCCGATGGCTTCATCTCTCTTGAGTTCAGCTTTCCTTGCCTTTCTAACATCTGTTGAATTCGCATTTTTGGTCACCGGAGGTGTGTATTCCCTGAATCGTCGTTTCGGGGCACCACAAACTGCAATCAATTCAAACATTTACATTCTTTTTTCCTGAATCGGAAGATTTATAAGTTGTACATGCAGAATTAGGTTCGACTTTGATACCTGGGCAGAAGTATTTATCAGGGAGCTTCTCAAAGGGGGTTTTATCGCTATAGATGTACCTGCATCCCTCAAACACAAACACACATGAAATTCACAGCGAAATTCGATCAAACATAGAGATGCGAAATAGAAATTCGACAACAATCGGAAGAATTACCCGCAGTCGCGGCAAATGTAAGCTTGTTTGGAGGCAGCTCGCATGGCGAATTTGGGTGCGGCTGAGGGCTGATGGCGGGGAAGCAGTAATTGAAGGGAGGGTGAGAGATAGAATGATGATTTCATTGCTAGCTGGTTGGATGGCCGGCGGAGGCCGACATTGCTGCCGCCTGCCGGAGATAGAGTAGAAGGTGAAGGTGTTGATCTGGTGGTTGGTAGTCTGAGTGGCGTCTGGAGAGCCATTGTTTTGGATGAGATAGATGCATGTAATCTTGGTAGTGGTTGTTGTATAGGCTTTTGGTGGGAAAGCGTGGACGCCATACTCCCCACATAATTGAATGCGCCAAAACGTTTTGCTTTTTTCTTTCTTTCTTTCTTTTTTCGTGTTTTCTATATGCTTCTTGAATGTCTTTTTGAGGAAAAAGATGGCATTTGTCTTAAATGTTTATTATTTAAAAGAAAATGTTTAAGTTTTGTTAGTAGTCACTAGTCATTATAGTCTAGGGTTTTATGTGATATTTTCATAAGAAAACTATATATTAAAAGTGCACTTTTGTAACATAAAGAATGAAACCATGTTGCAAGAACAATATTAGTGTGTTGTTCTTTCTTGTATCAAGAGAGGATAGGCTTCAAGGTATAAAAACACATGACTCCCTGTCTAGCTTATCTGGGATACTAATATGTCAAACATACATTCGATTAGATTAAACTAGATGTGTTGAGCTATAAGGTTAGAGGTACGTCGACTATGATATCAAGTTAATTAGGCTATGATATCAAGTTAATTAGGTTTATATATAATATAGAGAGTATTAGATGTTCTATCTAAATGAGCTCTTAGAGATATATGAGAATAGGTCTAGCTAATATGAGGCACTAATATTTATGAAGTAGAAATTAGTCTTTTAGTAACGCAATCGCTTACTTGATTAAAAACTTAAGTGTTGTTTGTTTTTAAGAGATAAAATGTTTACAGTCTGCAGACCACATCCATAGAAGAAGAGGGGGATCGAACGTTTACAGACTGCAAGAAGAAGACTGTTTGTTCTTTAAAATCAGCAGACTGCTAAAATAAAGTGATTTTTAAACTTTGAAGAGCTCTTTTTTCAATTACCTTTTATCAATAATTAATAGATAAAAAAACTAAGAGTAAATTACACGAATGGTCCATATGGTTTAGGGTAATTTGCACGTTTGGTCCCTAACTTATTTTTTTAACTCGGAAGGTCCCTACTATTTGTTTTTGTTACGCGCTTGGTCCCTGTCTTACCTAAAAAAACTATTTTTCCCTTGATTTTTTAATTTATTTAAATAAACAAACCCCCAACCCCATCTCACTCACCTTACCTTTCCTACCCCGCAATTTTTCCCTATTTAAATAATAGTATTTTTAGGTAAGACATGGACCAAACGCGTAATAAAAACAAACATTAGAGAACAAGCGCGTAACAAAAACAAACAGTAGGGATTTTCCGAGTTAAAAAAATAAGTTAGGGACCAAACGCGCAAATTACCCCAAACCATAGGGACCATTCGTGTAATTTACTGAAACTAAATCAAATTCAAAACAATATTCATGTATAAAGAGAATCAATCAATTGATTCAAACTATTTAAAAAAATTTACAGAAAATGTTATCTATGAAACAATTTATGAAACCATCTATAGGAAATCATCTTTAAGAAGAGCTAATTGCAAAAAAAAACTATATGCATGAAACCATCTATGGAAAAATTCAAGGGAAAATGACGTAATGGCCCTACTATATATTTCAACTTTACCATTTCAGTTCCTAAAGTTTTTTTCGTGTCTTTTAAGGGAACAAACTGTTTAGTGACTTGATCATTTACTCCCTTTAACTTTTTTAACCAGTTAAAAGCGCCACATAAGCAAGTTAAGCCAGCTCAGTTATGACTTGGAGTAAACGACGACGTTTCAGACATGACGCAACATAAACCAGCTCACAATCGAGTTGGACCATACGACGTCGTTTTGAATATAACCCTTAGGGAGTAAGTTTCAGACTGTTCATTGCCCGAAGTGGTTATAAAACGCATGTTGGCGCCCTAAAATGATCACAACCACTAACTTTGTTGCCCTAAATTCGCAAAGAAAATCGTACCCTAAGTAAGACAAACATGCCTTCTATTACGTCGCCATGCAACAGCTGGTCCTTCGAAGATTGACGTCACATACCCAGGGGCGGAGCCAAGATTTTTTAATAAAGGGGGTCGTACATCGCAATAATATGTTAAAGTATATTTTATCATCGTAGTAATATATTTAAAATATATTTTATCATCGTAATAATATATTAAAGTATATTTGATCTTCGAATAATTTAATAGTATTTAAATTTGAAAAAGAAATTAACAAAGAAAAAATTGTCTAAATAAAAATTACAACTACAACGATTTTCACCTATAATGATATATTCTCTAAATAGGAAGTAAATCTAAAAAAATAATATAGATATACATATCCAATTATATTTGTATATTTTAGTAATAAAAGAACGGGAGATGAAAAATATATAGTAATAATAATAATACTATATATGTGAATTATGTATCTGTATTGTTGCAATGGAAATATATGTGTTGATTGTTGACGAGTTATAAAAAAACAAAAGAAATGCTTAATTGACTGAGTATGGTAACTGTTCAATGTGAAGGGGCTGATTCTGTAAATTTGATGAAATACAAAATCAAATCTGTAATAAGGTGCTTTACTTCGAAATGCTAGGTTCAACTTCTAAATGCTATGTTCAACTATGGTGGGCTTATTGAAGTAACTAACAGACTAATATTAGGGGGGCTAAGCATCGGCCAACCCCGGTACTCCCTCCGCTACCGCACATACCAACGAACGAATATATTGCAGGCGAGCCACAAGACATCCAGATCACTATTCTCCAACTTCAGCTTGAGGTTTCCCTTATCAGGGAGGAATTCAAGGCAGACCAGCGTCACATCAGGGAAAGTCTTCTTCAGGAGATGGATTACCTAAATCATGAGGTCGATGATATTAGGGTAGGGCTATTAGAGGTGTCCAATTTGACTGACGACTTGAGGAATCATTTTTATTCACTCCAGCCAGCGTATGTCATGGCATCGACTGACATAGCTAAACTGAAGAAGGTGCTTGTTGTCACAAGTTTATTCGGAGTGGTCATTGTTGCAGGAGTGGTGGCAGCTTACAAATGGTTCTGATGAAGGGCAGTTGCTTTGCTTTGTTTGGGTTTTGGTCTTTGGGTGTTAAGTCTTAGTGTTTTGGTGCAATTCGGTAGTATAGTTATGGTTTTCTTGTTTTATGGTAGATATTATGTTGTATGTGGCTGCCAAATATGGAAGCTACTCTTTTGGATGTCTTTTTCAATATCCAGAAACAACATCATGAATGTATTATGTAGGATTATGTACTTAAAAAGGATTTACAAAACCCGGATGAATGCAAATGAATATTATGGCTATATACACATTTTCCTTTTATTTTAGTACATGTCAACACATGTTGTAGGACCCAAAGGTAGAACTTGTTCATGTATGTTGCTCTATTTTAAGGAAAACAATCTTGTTATATATACAGATTTATGATCACATGTTGTTAAGGTTTAAGGAAAAAAATTGTTTTATATGACCACATGTTGTAAAGGTTTAAGGGAAAAAAGTTTTTGTTTTATATGCCACATTGGGATATCAGGCCCCTCAATCACCACGTCTTGCACATACCAATAACTAAATAAAGTAAACACTTACATGGATAGAAAGTTACCAAAACAGGAAAAACAGGAGGAATATATTTTTTTTGTTTCTTATTAAAAGGATTTATATTCAATATCATACGTGGGACAACATTGGTAAGGCCAAATATGGAAGAAAAAACCTACATGGATCACAACTGTGACATGCACTTATTCTTGATTAATAATTAAAGGGGCAATTAAGGAAAGTATTTATACTAACGTCTCAAATAAACATTTAAAAAGCAATACAAATTAAATAAACATTTAAAAAGTAATACAAATTACATAAACACCCTTTTCTATAACAACCTTTCAACATATTCCATTAAAAGCAAATGAAATTACATAAATACCCTTCCCCATACACTACATCCACACTAATCCACATCCATAGGCTTTGATGCACTGCTACCTTCACCTTCAATTTTTTCCCAACTTCATTTTAAGGATTCTTTTAGACTTTTTCCTCTCCCTTAGTTGTTCCATTTTACCAAACTGCACTTCAGCTCATTAACCCTGACATCTTGACCATCAATATCAGCCATTGCAACATCTTCCCCATCAACATCAGTCATTGCAACATCGTCCCCACCCCTATTCATGTTCACTGACCCTTGTGTTTGTCTCACACCTTGTGTTTTCCTACCATTAGTTTTTGGAGGCCTTTCAACTTGAGGACAAGTGGTCTTGTTGTGTCTTTTCTGTTTGCATATACCACATCATATAGATTTCCCAGCCTTTGATATAGTGTGTATGCCACGCCTTTCTGAACCATCTCTTTTTCTCTTCATAGTAGTTCTGCCAGGAATTCTTCTTTTAATTGGGGGCAAAGGAGGGATTTTGTTTGTAGATGGCCACATGTCCATTCCATTCATCCCATGTATGGGCTCTTTGTAAGTATTATGGGATAATGCTGCAAAGTACATTTTGTCGACATGTGCTTGATAATCTGTAGTGTTTAAGAATGATAATGTTGCAACTGAGTGTACACAACCATACCCATTTAATTGCCACAATTTGCATGTAAATTCCCTATTTTGTACATCAACAACATAAGATTGATCCAGGTTTCTTGTTTCAAACTTCATCACCCTAAAAGAAATAACTTTCCAATACCTAAATTTAGTAACAACGGTTAACTATAACTCAAAGTTGTGAAATTATTCATTAAATAGTATAATTAGTGACATACCTTTGCTTTATTTTTAACAAATTCAACTTGTCCCTGATGTCAGGACATACATTTAAACAATCTCATCCTTGTCCCTTAAGTTGCATTTTGACCATCCTTTGCATGACATAAATACGAATATCTTTTAACATACTGATAATAGGTTTCTTCATAGCATCCATTATAACACTATTGAAGCTTTATAAGTATCCATTCTCCACAATTCACAACCTTGGTGAACTTTGAAGAAAGCCAAAGACCATGTCCTAGGATCCCTCTCCATAAGATGCACAAAGGCAGCAGGATTTAGTTCTTGAATCTCCTTCATGGCTACATTGAAATGTGCTTCAGTAGTTGTTTTACTGGCCCTCTAGAAAATATTTTCAAATTGTGCTCCAGGAAATTTATTTCTAAAGTTAGCATAGATATGTCTTGCACACCATCTATGTTCTGTTGCTGTACGTACCTCTTTCACTGCCTCAACCAATCCCTAAATATGTTCAATGATATAAAAATTTAGAAGGACATATCATATATCCTAACATATTAACAAAAAAAAGTAGCATACCTTGTGTTGATCAGATATTAGCACAACCCCAAATCCTTGATGTTGAAGGTTCAAGTCTTCTGTAAGATTATCGATAAACCACTTCCAATTTTCTTTGTTCTCTACGCATACAACAACTCAAGCAGTTGGGAATATGTCATTGTTAGCATCCCTACCCACAGCACAAAGTAGCTCACCCTGGCAATAACTTTTCAAAAAACAACCATCAAGGTTAAATATCCTTCTACACCCTCCTCCCTAACCCTCTTTCACTCCTTGAAAACATATGTAAATCCTATTAATGTATTTTTTACCATCAGGCATTAAATCAACAGAAATTTTTAAAGTTGAACCTGGATTTGATCTTTTAATCTCCTCACCATATGACCATAGCTTGGCATAGTTGTCTGTAATTGTACCTTCCACTAGAGTAAAAGCGAATTTCTTGGCTCTCCTACACGGACTCATACTCACTTTCAATGCCAAATGTGTTTTACACCTCCTCTCTAAGCAGCCTAACACTCATCTTCTGATTGTTTACAAATTCTTGGGTGAAATGGCTTCCTATCCATCTATAAGTGACAACTGACCCAAATTTAAAACTCCTAGAACAATTATGGTCAATTATTAGAGACTTAATCTATAAAGATTTATCATCACTCATCCATGACCCCCAAAGCCTAAATGTACAGCTTCCATCACAACATTTAACTAATGGCCTTCTATTATCATTTTTCTTAAAACATAGTTGATAACCATTAGCAACTGCATAATTACATAACATGTGTTTGAGTTGTTTAGGATTCTCAAACCTCATACCTAACACAGGTTGTTGCTCCTTCCAGGGTTGCTCTTCATTGAAAATATTTGGCAAATCAGTATCAACATCAACCTCATCATCTTCATTATCCCCTATGTCATCATTAGCAGGTTCACCTTCACATGCACTGTCACTCATCTCACAATCTGGATTATTATCTTTTTTGAAAAAATGAGGGTTGTCATTATCATATGTATGCCTTGTCTCATCTGTTTCGTAGACATCATCAACAACTTCTTCATAATTAGTATCAACCACTTCCTCTCTTTCTTCATCCAACCACTCCTGCATGTTAGTAGTACCAAAATGGTCTACCTGCAGTGAGAGTACGACACCACATTCATACGCAATGGATATGAAAGTGGAATAATCAAGTTCATTCCTAATTAACCTCAAACCTTTTGAAAAATCGATATCAGGAAGACATTAATAAAGTTTCTCATATTTTCTCCTGTGAATCTTTTCGTGAACACGTAGCACTCGTTCTTGTGCATGCCTGCGAAATCAATGTTCTCTAGTCTCTATGTAGTACCATCACTATATCATATGGGGTACCTTTCAAAGATTCCTTGAAAATGCACATCGACAGTGATGTAGATAGCCATGGTTGAAGCAAGAAATTGGATTATTGGAAATTGATGCAGTAGACGGAGAGAGTTGATGAAGACGGAGAGAATGGGTGAACTATTGTCGGTACCTCATTAAAAACCCGAACTAAACACAACGAGCCGTTACACATGGAAATTTTAAATGATGTGGCAAGGATGTTACCGGCTAACCCCTTCAATTCTTAAAAAATGACCAAATCGACCCGACAAAAAACAGTTTGTTCCCTTAAAAGGCACGAAAAAAAACTTTATGGACTGAAAGAGCAAAGTCGAAATACATAGTAGGTCCGTTGCGTCATTTTCCAAAAATTCAAACAGATGATTCATAAATAATAAACACAAAAAATAAGTTGCATCATCAAAATCCTTAAACAGATGAGAATCGAATTGATTGAATAAAACTATTTGATATTGTTTGTTAATCCATTGTGTAGTTAAAAATAGTTTGTTGATTACAAAAATGGGTATCAAGTTGGTTGAATAAGATTATGTCATTTGATTAATGAAGTTAATAGCAAACAATTTGAATGGACATTGGCATCATAAGAATTTTGTTTTTCCTAAACTTATTTTATGTTAATATTTATATTAAATAATGTAGTTTTATGACTTTTGTCTATTTATTAATATTTTTTACATTTTGAATATATGATGAAGGCTTGAAGCTTTTAAAAAATGACTTGGTTAATCCTAATTAAAATATTAGTTTGGATATAGATTTGAACTTTATAGTTTTTGGTGGACGTATATATAAGTTTTAGATTTTGTAAGGATATAAAAGTAATATTTAAAGTTTGAAAGGATATAAATAAAATCATGTTTTTTTATCAGAAAGACGTCTGCAAACTTCAACAAAGGTGAGTCCATGTCTGCTTTTGCTCCAATAAGATAACGCACAGACATTTTTAGGTCAGGATAGATGTGTAGACTAGCATCATTATTCTTTTTTTCCCATGATTTTTAATGTTGAAATATGTTTCCCCCCGAATAAGTGTCTTCTATTATATTTATATATTTTTACGGATTATACATATGTACCTTTTTATTTGCTCACCTAGCCTTATTTCCTTCATGTTTTCTTGTCTTTCCCCATTTATAGGCCCTTGTGACACAGTTGTTTTTCTCTATATGGAGACATGACTGTCCACATCTACCTCCTTCTACCCCATTATAATGAGATTCTCGAGTCTGTTGGTTGTGATGGTCTTCTGAAAAAACAAACATTATGTAAGAAGAAATGTTTGTGCGTTGTCTGTCACGATATAGACGAAAAAGGTTACGAAGTGCTTTTTGAAAAAATAAATAAATAAAGAAAGAAAAAAAAAACACCACCTTAAAATGTATCATTTAAACCTTGAGTTTGAAAATTATGTTTTTCTATGTACAAATTAACTAAAAATAAGTTATTTTAACACACTTACCCATTCACTTTCTTTCCTGGCAATACACATTCACTTTCTTTCATGGCTTCTATAACTAGTGAACTCATTTGGTTCCAAATACTTGTTGAATCCATTTTTGCTCATACACAATGAAGCAATAACTTTATTATTTTGAAAGTCCGACTAAAATGTGATATAGTTACAAATCCAAACTTACATATAAAAAAAGAAAACATATTGAAATTGATTCCCTTACACGCATATTTAAGTCGGCAAGTTTATAACTTCACATTTAGGTTCGAGATTCCAACCAATTGATATCGTAACAAAAACTCTTACAAAATCACATTTTAACTTTTTAGAAGCAAGTTGGCATAGACACATCTTTGTTAATTCATTCTCTTTCACATGCCAAAAGCACATCTTAAGGCTGTCACTTACCATTAATGCCCACTTCTCACATGGTAGCCAAGAGCCTAACCCAACCAAAAGCACATTAGCACAACAAGAAAGATGATAACATGCCAAAATATGCCCACAAACACATAAACATAGTGCTTTACGATTCTCTTGGGCAATTTACCAAACACTTGGTGTGCATGAAGAACCCCAATGTTGTTGTGCAGAAACCCACAACAAATAACAATCTAATCAACATCACACACTTCATAAGACTCGAAAATAAGAACAAGAGTGCAAAAGTCCATAAGATTTAATAATCATCCATTCCCTTCAAGATCAACTACAGTGTAAAAAACCCAACAAAAAATCCCCAAAAATTCTATAACTTTTGAAATACAACAGTCAAGATTTCAGCCCATGATTTCTTTTAACAACAGACATTTTGAAATCTACCAAGGCTTAAGATCAGCTAAAGGACCTGCAGTCCAATTCAAGACCTTCTCCCCTTTCCTCAAATAAACACTCTTATCATGAGGCAACTTACGTGCAAGCCCATTCAAGATCTGATGAAAAGCATCACCTGATTGAGCAGGATGAGGGAACAACATGGCCTGTTTCATTGAAGGATTAGCAAGCAATCTCTGTTTCCTCAATATCACTTCTGTTGGAATTGATGTCAAAATGGTGTCCAAATTTGGAACATCTTTTTCATCCACATACACACCAATGTCTTCCCATGGAATCGCATCAGCAAAAGGTAAGACAATGTCATCTGCTATGATAACTGGAATGCAACCGAAGATAACTGCTTCAACTAGTCTTGGACTCCATGGGGCCCACCCAAGTGGACATAAGCAAAAAACAGCTCTTTGCATGTCTTCATAGTATGTTGTTGGATGTTCTGTTGAGATGTCAAAAAGAGGATTGTCTTTGAAGTTTTCCCACACTGCTGCTCTTGCTCCTCTGCAAAATTTAAAAAAATATGATTTTTTTAATAACCGCATAACTTGCATAATTTTAAGAATATAAGAAACACATATGACATACCTTGCATAATAACCACCTTCAGGGTCATTTCCTACATCATAAAACAAGCCTCTAAAGTAAACAAAAATGGATCTTGGAATACTTGGAGGGATCAAATGAGACTGCATCTTTTGTGGAGGGGCATAAGGGGGAACTGTGATCGAACCCTCTTTCAAACAAACATGATTCCTTTGACCAAATGTTTGAACCAAAGTAGCCCTTTGAAGAAGAGGAAGAATTCCTCTTTCAATCGCCTTTTCTTCCTACAAAAAAAAGAATCAAAAGATAAACACAAAGTGACAAAACCATAACAAGATAGAAAATTAGAAACCCGAAAGATTAAGATTCACTTACTTGATAATGAAAACAAGCACCAAAATCATGTGGGACAATGAAGAAATGATCAGCTCCTTCGGTTCTATTCCAATAAGGCCAATTGGAGGATATAAGTTGAATTGCACTTCTCATCATACGAGGTGATTTGAAAGGTAAAGGGAGGCCATTTGGTGTTAGGTCACAAGTGGTGTAAACAGGGGTGTAAAACCAATCGGCTTCTTCTGGATTTAGGGTTCTAACAGGGCTTGATAACAGGAATCTGTGCATGTAAATTTCAGCTGCAAACATGTGGTTGAGACATCGAGGGTCTTTTTGTAATATTTTCTTGTTGTATTTACTTGGAAGCTCATAAACAAACACTTTTAACCTTCCAACTGGATCATCTTCCAATACATCCCCTGCACTACCTACATTGCACAAATTTAACTGGGATTAGCACCGAATAGTGTTAAGTCCATATAAAATGACCATTATGCCCTCTTCTTCTTCCCTCGAAACCATAAAATGAATTGGGTTTTAAATGGTTCAGCCAAGGCTCTAAGTTTTCATCACAACTACCCTACTTCACAACATAAATAATGGAGTACAGATTTTGCTAAGAGTAGCTTATCAATGATGGTTTGATCCTAAGTTATCCAGGAGAAAAGGAATAAAAATCAAAATCTAACGAATATAAGATCAATATCAATGCAGAATCTAATTACTTGTGTTATGATGAAGCTGTTTATTCAGACCAAAAACCAATAACAGAAACAACAGCAGAGAAAAGAAAGAAACGAACTATACAGCTTCATAAAGTTTCGCATCAAGTCAACAGTTATGTTGGGCAAAACCATGGGTTTGAATTAGGGTAGAACTCCTAGTCCGTGAGACAAAAATCGGGCCAGATCGAGAGCTCATAAGTTCAAATGGAACCCAAATCTCTAAATCTAACGATCATTTCACCAAAATCGAGAAATTAAAAGGTTTGGAGTTGAAATTACCTGAAATTCTCTCGGTTTTTTGACCTTTACGAAGCTCAAAAGCATCAAGATTCAACACGATAGCAGACAAAACCAGCAAAATAAAACCCCAACTCCGATTCCTCATCTTTAGTCTTGGGTATCTTCAATAATCCTTCAAATCTACAAACAAGAAGTGCAACTCGAGAGTTTTTTGTTTTGGGTAATGAGAGAAAACCACAACGTTTTATTTACTTAAATGGGCGAAGAGATAGTTGGAATGTCATTAGACGAAGTAGTTGTTGGATTGGAAGAAGACCCTTTCTTGCAAATTAGGTTTTGGAATCGAAAGGGGAAATTGATAAATAGAAAATAGAGAGAGATGGGTATGTGAAAATTGCTTAAAGAAACAGGGAAGAAGAGGAGAGGGATGCATCTAAGGTTGGTTTGGTATGGTTGTCAAATCTGTTGGGACTTCTTGAAAACTCATGCTCTTTTACAAAACTAGCTGTTGCAACATCCTTGTAAATCGATAATATATTTGTATACGCAAAAGGGGTTTTTATATTTTCACACACAGAGGGGAAGTATAGTTGACAATGACGGTGGAAGAAAAGAAAGACTCTCTCAATCTGATGAAAGTGAGTTGAGAGAGCTGGAGGGTTACAGTCAAAGACTTTTCTAATTCTTGATCACATTAAATGGTTTATCAACCATTTTAACACTATAAATCTCATTTTATGTGTGTTGTTACTCATTAACTTCAAAATACTTATTATTTTAAATATTTAACTTTATGTATTTTATTAAGATCATTCGTTATACTCATCACTAACCACTATAATGATGAGTGTCACATCATCATCACACTCTTTACCATTAATCATGAGATATTTACCATTAAACGAACAACTCCACCTTATTTTTTTATTTAAATTTAATTCAAAAATACATTAAAAAAACATATAATTTTTTAAAAAGACAAAATTGCAAAAATGGTCCCTGTGGTAATTTTTGGAGTTTTAATCCAAACCCTGAGTTTTTTGGATTCACGGTCCTTTTGAAATGGTTTGTATGTGGAATTGGTCGCCGGATTTAACTTCAGTTAAGTTGTTGCTGTTAACCCCCTCATGTGCCTCCCACATGAGGGTATATTTGTCTTTTCACTTCTAAGGGACCATTTTCACACCTGAAAAAAATATATCCCTATTTAAAAAAATAATAATAATACTTATTTATTTATTTTAATAATTAAAAAATAAAAGAGGTCTCTCTCTCTCTCTCTCTCTCTCTCTCTCTCTCTCTCTCTCTCTCTCTCTCTCTCTCTCTCTCTCTCCAGAGTTGACATACTGTATATATATATATCCAGAACAAAACTTATAAATTTCTTCTCTTTTGATTATGTCACTCGGCAATGGCGCTTTCATCTACATTCGAAGAGAGACTTTATCAAATGCTGGAAACCAGAAACCAACGCCTCTCTCTTTTGCAGGTATCATTCCTTAAATGCTATCACACAACCAGAATCACATTCTATGCTGCAAATATTTGATCGAGATCATTGGTAGGCCGAGAAAGAGCTCCAGCAAAATAAATCTCAAGCTCTAGCTTCGAAGCTTTCTGGTATCTGATACATTGAACAGAGGTGCTTCAAGCTCGATACAAAATAGCCTCACAACAATTCATCATTTCTTCCCTCAAATCACAACTTGATCGCCTTGATTCATGAACACATACACAAACACTCCATATTTTTTAGGTTTATTCTTCAAACACACACTCAAGAACACATTCACAAAATCAAATATGATGAAGGGTTATCTGATGAACACATTAAAGAAGACGAAATCAGATCGAGTTATGGGTCTCCGATCTCCTCCATAGATGACGAGCTCTCCTCCTCCTCCAGTAATTGGACTTTTTGGCAGTCCACAAGACTAGAAATTTCAAACAATCACTTCACTGGTGCTGCATCTCAGGCAACCTCCTTTCTCAATTTCTATCAATTGAACCTCACTTTTGTCAGATAAACTCACCTCGAAGTTCAATTTCACGATTACGAATCGTAACCCTAATAAGAAGATTGTGTGTGTATACGATCCGATTTCTGTTTCGCTCAATTTGAAAGACGTCGATGTCGGTGACAAATTGATTCTGGCTTTCACGTCGGTGTGTTTTCCAAATCTGTTAAAGGTGTGTTTCTTGGAGGCTTAAAGGATTAAACTCATATTTTCATGGAGGCTTAAAGGATTTAGAAATTTTTTTTAGGGGAAATTGGGTTAATGGCGTCCAGGAGCGAGCGAGAGAGAGAGAGAGAGACCTCTTTTATTTTTTAATTATTAAAATAAATAAATAGGTATTAATGTTTTTTAAAAAAATGGGGATATATTTTTTTTCAGGTGCAAAATTGGTCATTTAGAAGTGAAAAGACAAATATATCCTCATGTGGGAGGCACATGAGGGGGTTAACAACAACAACTTAACTGAAGTTAAATCCGGGGACCAATTCCACATACAAACCACTTCAAAAGGACCATGAATCCAAAAAACTCAGGGTTTGGACTAAAACCCCAAAAATTTGCATACCACAGGGACCATTTTTGCAATTTTGTCTTTTTTTAAATACTAATAAGTGATGTCAAGTAATTAATTATACAAATAAGTGATTTAATAATAAGAAGAATAATAATTTAAATAAATGAAATTACTTAATTAATTAGGAAATATAAAGCCAAGGTTTAATTTGTCATTTTAGAAACTATATATGTTAAAGGATTTCTGGTCAGGGGTGCTTTCTGCCAATGGACTATATCTCAGGGATCAAAGTTTTCAATACTTGAGAAGCTATGTCTTCTTCCCCAACAAAAGGACGCAGCTCGCAGGAGCTCTTTTTCTCAGTTTTCAGTCCTTTAAATCAGGATTCATTCGAAAGCAAATTTATTTTAACCACAAATTCTAAAAAGTTCTTTTGATGCAAAAAGAGAAAGCAGGTTGTGTTCCTTCTCCAGCAACCTCTTCAATGGTCAAAATGAGCAATCCAACCCCATTGGTCGTTTAGTTTCGTGATTGGTACCACTGAGGACCACGACCACGACGAACCACGATGGTCCGGGCTAGTGTGCACGAGCCACGGTCGTGGCCAGCTATACCATGAGACCCATTGTGGTCTGTATACTAGATGGTCTAATGAAAAACTCACTCGCTTTTCAATTAAAGTACATGGTTCAAGTTTCTATCTAAAATATATGTGAAATTATGAGTTGTTTGGAAGTAGATTAAATTTTAAAAAAAAAAAAAGTTGATTAACATTTTTTTAATTAACAAATTTATTTTAACGTGTCTTTAATATCTCTTTTTTCTCAATTTTCGGTCCTTCAAATCAGGATTCATTCGAAAGCAAAATTTATTTTAACCACAAATTCTAAAAAGTTCTTTTGATGCAAAAAGAGAAAGCCCTATCCTCTCATCCATGGAAATGAGCTTGGCGGATTGTGTGACAACCCGAAATTTCTATCTTGTACAGCATTTAAACTCAATCAAAGTCAGACTCGTATCTGCTATCTTTTAGCACTGTTTAGGGTCTATTTGAGTGTTTTAATCATAGTACATCCAAGGATCGGGTATTAAGAAGTAACTGCTTGAGTCCATGGTGCACCAAGTAAGCCATAAACTTCATCATGTGGAGTTTACGGCCACACCATATGAGTTTACGGCCGTAAACTCAAGGTGGCCGTAAACTCACCCTATAAACATGATATTCCGCCCTTTCTTCCTCATTATTCACCATTTCAACCTCAAAAACTCGAATTCTCTCTCAAGTATCATAAGGATCTTCATTTTATTCTTCAAAAATGTAAGTGTTTCATCCTTTGTTTAGTTGATACATCTCATTATCTAGTATCAACCTTTGATTTCATCCATTAACTTCATCTTTTTGGGTTTGATCTTCAAGATCACTAAGAACACCAAGAACACACACTAGTGTTTTGGGCCGAAATCAACTCTATTTGCTTCCATATTGTAAGTATCTTCTTCCTATACATGTTATCTAGTAGGAACCCTCGATTTGCACCTTGAAAACATCCTTTTCCCAAGAAAAATAGGAGTTTACGGCCAAGAGCATCTCCCTTGGCCGTAAACCCTTGTTAAAGGTGCATTTGTTGGCCATAAACTCCCTTAAGCTAAGCATTATGTCTAGAACACTTCCTTGATGTTTGCAAGGCCTTGACAACACTTTTTGGCACAAAACTTCTTTAGTTTATGGTCGTAAACTCATAGGGCCGTAAACCCTATGGCCGTAAACTCATGAGGCCGTGAACACATGGCCGTAAACTCTAAGGCCGTAAACCCTATGGCCGTAAACTCCAATGTTTGGCCATACACTCCTTAGATGCAATCCCTTGTGATTATAACACTTCCATATAAGTGTTTTCTAGTTCCTAAGGTGTGTTCCTTACATGATTAGTTGTTTAAACACTAATTACATACATATATGTGTCATTATATGCTTATTAGGATCCGTTGTGCTCAAGGCTTCACTTGGCACTTATCATCCTTCAAATCGATATTTCATTCGTATAACTCACTGCAGGTGAGTTCATACCCCTTTAACTTACCTTTTAAATGATTTTAAATGCTTTTATGGGGGGGGGGGAATACAAGTACAGACATAATGGTTATTATATTAATCACATGTGATTAATAACTATCAAACAGATAGAATTCTTATACTTCAAACCGTGTTTTCAACTAATTGCTTCAAATAGTTCTACAAACTCTTTTATATATGCAAAACTCTTTATCAAACTCTTTCATACTTATATTTTGTCAAAAGCATATCTATATAGATATAGTTATATAAGTAGGATTGAAAGCACTTAGGACTGATAGCTCACCTTACTTCTTGTTCCTTGTTTGGTTGTGGACTGAGGGTATCGGTTGTTTGTCCGAAGGCCGTTTGAATCTTAGTTATATATTATGGGTATGTATATATATTAAAGTTCTTCATTCAGTTCAATACCTTTGGGTAGCAAAGGTGTACAAACATGTTCATTCATACAAACAACATTACTAGTAAACTATAATAGGTATAGTTTAGGAAGTCACTAATACTATTACTAGAACAACGAAACATACAAAGAGTCAGTTCATACATGATTCAATACATACTATAACGAGAAACAATACTCACTATAAAGAGAAACAGATAGAGAATACTATAACGAGAAACAATACTCACTATAAAGAGAAACATATAGAGCATACTATAACGAGAATCAATACATACTACACACAATACACTAGAGAACATACTACATACTAGACAGAGAGAACATACATTACACTAGTACATGCTATACAAATACAAGAATACTATAACATTAATGTGAGATACTACTTCATGGCTCGGCATATATTGCTGTGTCACGTTTTGTACCCAGAGTCTCCTGGAGGGAGAGCGTGAATTTGTGTATAGATCTATACGGGACTTACCCTCCTACACCTTGCTGCTAGCTACAGTGGGACCTGCAGGTCTGCGGGTGACGAATGTCATATCATTTCGACGTCTCGAACGTCGTGTTATACTGGTCAA